TTCTCCCTTGCTGTCACCGGTTTCATTCTGAAAAGCAGTCCACCCGTTTAAATGCTTAATTTCAATAGACAGTTCTGCCGCATATGACTTGCCAAAAGAAACTTTTGCCAACTGCCGCACTTACACGGAGGCGTTCATTAGTGACAATCTAGTTTCCGTATGGGACGAAGCCTATCTTGTGCAGAATTTTGCGCCAATTCCGTACCTGTTTTCAAAATCGCCGAAACTACCATATTCAAAAAGTTATGAAGGTTTTAAGTGCCAAAAAATGCCCAAAACGGCCCAATTTACGCAAACTTCTTTCTTCTACTTCCTTTCTCGCCTGAAACCCTTCAAACGTTTTGAATCTGGTCGTTTCGCAGATTTGGAAAACAGGTTTGGAATCAGCGCAAAGTTCTGCAAAAGCTAGGAAAGTTCGGAAGTTCGCTTGTCGCTAAAAACGTCTCCTTGTTACTTTTTTTTAACAACCAGGTACGCTAAATTATAAATTCGGCTTTACGGGTGGAGCGGCAGGCTACAACTACCTTTTCTAATGAACGTACCATTTTTAGACCGTCTTTTTGATTCTTCTGTAATAGTATAGTAGCTTCCGCCAGTCGTTGGGTCCTTGTAATGTATTTCAGCGTGGGCAAATTCTTGCCTGAATGCGGTTATTATATCGAGAGCCAAAACCCGAGCGGAGAGCAACAGAAAACAAGAACAAATTGATCGATTTATATACAAGAATGAATTCTTCGCCGCAAGAAATTGCCATGTGCGAGAAAAGAAGATAAGGAGAATCTGGAGGTGAAACAGGCGCGGAGTGAGCCTGGCCAGATTTCGAGGTTTATGCCGACAAATCTGGCTCAACGGGCGCTGAAATTTTGCTAAAAAAAAATTTTTTTTTTACGGATCCGATCGTCATTGCCCTACCAGTTTAGTTTTCATTTTTTATTTTATCAAAAATTTGTGGAGATCGGACCATCTTAGGCCTTCCTAACTTTTGAGCCCGGTGGTTTCGCAGACTTTGAAACTATGTTCGGAATCAGGGCCAAATTTTGCACAAAGTACGGTAACTCGACAGTAAAAAACGTCTCCTTAAGGAGACCTCCGATAGAAGCCAGAAAGGTGGAAACACGCATGGAGAACGCGGGGGCGTCAACACAATTTTTCATGCAAGAGAATCGAGAGCTAAATCGATGACACCAGAAAATAGTCCAGAGCGCGGAGATGAGGATGGTACGGGTTAATACGTCTTGGCTACGATTAGGGTGGTGGCGCTTCCATATTGGCGCTTCTGGCAAATGTGCCGCCGTTTCCAGCCAGGTCGGTGGAGCTTTATATTCATAACTTAATTTTATTAAAACTTCTATGGCCTTCAACTATAAAAAGGGTTTTAAGGTTTTAATTTTTGGGAAAATTTTCCTTCTAGATAAAAATTCAGGTACTTCCCTGTTAGCGGGGGGGTATTTTTAACGGGGGTGGTAACGAATTTTTAGTTTTACGCCTATTCATAATAACTGTCGTATTTTTGCAATGTTTTGAGTAGTTTCGATTGCCTGAAAGTTATATCGCCTTTTTTTAAAAAATTTTTGGAATATCGAAATTTTTGACCAATGTTGGTCATTTTTCATTGATTTTGTACTAAAAAGTCAAAAATTTTTTCATTTTTTATAACGTTGTTATGTCAAAAAATCTGTAAAATACTTTAAAATTTTTATATAGCATTAGGGCCGTAAGGTTTTAATGGGAAAAAATTGTGTTCGGCCCGTTACCCTCGCCCCCCCCCCCCCCCCGTTAACAGACAAGCTCCGAAATTCATATTTGCAAATATTTGTCTTGGGGTAAAATAATCAAAAGTATAAAAACACCTAAAAGCGTTGCTTAAAACTGAGGTAACAGACGTAATTTTAGCGTTAAAACTAGGGATTTTCGCTCGTTTGACCAGTTTAAAGGGGGAACTTTAGCTAAAACCCCTACGAAACAACGGAATAACGATATTTTGTGCATTCTACAAGCAGCGAGGTTGGCCGAATTTTTGTTGCAAGAGAATCGGGGGCGGGTGAGTGTGCTTTGCTGTGACACCGATTTTCTTGCAAGACAAAATGGCTGGTTTTGCATGATCGCTTACGCAAGCGAATTACTGATAAATCACTTCCAAGATAAATGGCGGTCAGCTGGCTAAGCGGTAATTTGTCCAAAATTGTCTGTAATTCGTGGGATAAAAAAGTAAAAATTTTCTGCTGAGTAGAAAGGAATCAATAAGGGGATACGTATAAACCCGTGCCGGAATTGTCTTGTGCAAGAAATTTGGGCGCTGCGCTGCACCCTCTCAATCTGCCCCCTCTCTCCCCATTCTCTAACTCGTCAGCGGTGATCGTGTGGTGCAAAGAAATGCTCGAGTGGTCTTTCGTTAGACCTAAATTTCGTGGTGACCAGCTGAAAGAGAATACGAAATTTTTTGCACGAGGTGTGTCAAAATCAAGTGTCAGCGAATCAACAATCTAAGGGATGATTCAATTTTGAGCCGCAAGTAAAACGAAATCGAAAATTTCGAAAAAATTTGGAGATAAGCCATTTCAAAAGCGCCAATTTCAAAACAATATCAAATTCACTAGAACGCTTCAAAAATTCTCGACTGGGGTCGGCCAAAGTATCAAAAACTAGGGAAAGATTTTCAACGGCCTAAAACCGAAATCTTACGTGCCGACGCGAGGCATTATGCGAACTGAAGGGCTTTTTTTCTGCTAATTTAGCGATTGTATCGTGATAAGACCGTCGACTCATTTTTTCCCAAAATTAAGTAATACAAGCGGCTTTCGGCTATAGCCGGTCAGCCAGTGATAATTTGCAAAAAACAACGGCTAGTTAGCTTTACTGTTAGGTGAGATTTTCAACTAGCTTTTAGCATGCTAGCTAATTTATACAATAAAGAAACTATTTTCTGAGTCTCCGGACCGAGAATCGCATTTTGGCATTTTAGCACTTTCGCGCTACTGGTCAAAAGTTAAGTTAAGGTTTTTAAGCGATGATTTTATCCAGTTTGCTCGAGGTTTTCTAGACTTTTCGTCAGATTCAAGTCAATTACGGTGCTAAATTCACACTACCGTGGTGCTTTAATGACTTTACAATCGTCAACTCACAAGCCTTATCATCCCTCTGATAACGAGAGTCTCAATTTCAATCGATCGCGACGAATAGAGTATCTAGAGCCAGAAAGTATTCAGCCATTACTAGAATGGGCGGGATCGTCCGAGCCGGGCCTGGCAATCAGAAATAAGATAAGGGCAAGCTCAGAACACACACCCCCGCCATTTCAATGCCATCGATGTTGATATTTGTCCCCAGTTTTCAAGATATGCATACTTTCAAAGTAAATATTTTTAATTTAGCACCGCAACCCAATTTTTATTTTCCTGAAAACTGGTAATGTCATATTTTAATAGAACAATCATTGTATTGAAATAAAGCCTGTGGCTTCAAAATACATTTTGAAGTCGATTTCACCCTTTTTAGATATTTTAAGACTGGAAAAGCGATCAAGGTGCGCTTTGAAAGCCAATGAATCTAAAAACTCGCGCGGAAAAAGCCGGTTTTGTTGATCGAAATCAAAGTTTCTTAATTTTTAAAAGCTTAGGGAGCGTAGGGAGCTTAAAAGTTGCGCAAATAGAGCCGAGGAAATGCAAAAAGGCTTGGCAGGCAAGTATCGAGGTCGTTATTGAGAATTTGAGCTTAATGAAAAGCACATCAATGGGTAATTTTGGAAAGTCTACTGGGGTCATATTCGAAAATAAAAACGTCCGAAAAATAGCGGAGTGGGAATAGCTGAAGAAAACTGAAAATTAAGGTATTTCAAAGGAGTTGTTTCAAAAATGGGTACAGGGTTGAAAGGGCTCCTTATCGACTTCCGGCTTGTCATGGGTTTGGCGGTGCTGGGATACATGGGTATTTAAGTACTACTGTTACACAACTTGATTCCGGTTGGAACAGGGCGGTCCCCCGGTTTCGAAACGGAATACTACAGACAATTCGAAACTATTCTAGAAATTACGCGAACGAACAGGTGTACATAATGGTCAAAAAATCGGATGCTTCCTCTGGCAGACACGTCGTCGAGCTACAAACCATAGCATGATAAACTAAATTCGGGATGCGCTGATTAGAAGCGCGAATCATGCGAAATACAGGCGGCGCGTTAACATAACGAAATTTGATGCAATTCTCAAATTTCTCAAAATGGCTACGGTCTTTCGAACAGTTATCGCCGTAAAACCCATGCCTGGAGATTTTGAACTCCCTGGTGCCTTTTAGAACGAAATGTTTTCCTAACGGTCATTAACTAGAAGATTTAATCGAAGAAAATACAAAAAATTAGCATCAACCTATCAGCGGTCATTTAGGAATGGTGATGGCAGTTTAAGAAACGGGGGCTCTTGTTCGTTATCGGGGGTAGCAGCGCGGAAAGTTAATTATCGGTTGCTCTCGTGCGGAAATTATGTCTAGTCCAAAAAAATCAAACATTTCGAAATTTTGCATTTATATAATTTTTATTGGTTTTTGCATTTAGAAATCTGGAAAATTCTATAAATTGGTGTGCATTTTTGTCATAGGGCCGTACGAGATTAAAGGGGAAAAATGGTTCCCCGCGAAAAATGAAAACGAAAATGTACCCGATAACGAGCTAGCTTTTATTAGCTAGCAGAGGTCATTGAGGAGAACTAGGAAGAGAGAACAGAGCAAGAAGATTGGAATTCGGCTCGCCAAGTTTTACTAGCAGAAAACGGTAAAGAGGATCCCGACGACCTACGGTTCAATAAGTGAAAAAAAGGAAGCGGCAACCTCTGCGTTTTTTAAAAATAAACATTACTAGATGGTTTCGCCAAAGGCAAGATGGTTTGTTAAACAAAATTGGCCTGGTCAAATTTAGCCAAAGAGCCAGAGATTTCGGAAGATAAGGCAGAAAAATGAGTGGGTGAGAAGCGTCTGGCAAGGCTGGCAGAAATGCAACTACTGACTCCTAT